GGGGCAAAGGTGGAAGAGTGGGGGAGGGGAAAAACAAAGTTGGGGGGGGGAATATAGAGGTAAGAAACCCATGGGACACAGATAAGGTTTATTATCTGTTGACGAGGATGTGTAATAGTCTCAACTAGGCTGGACTGAGGTGTATATCATGCTGAGTAAAGTCTCTTCAACCTAAATAATATATAGCGATTTAATGTATGAATAATAAAAAAAAATTTAAAAATTAAAAAAAAAAAACGATGAGTGAAGAGGCCCAGTTATGATGGTCAAATGCAGTGCTCCACAGGCTGGGACCACATTAGGCCAGGGTTTGATTCCTAGCCCAACCTAAAAGTCTAGGAGCAGTGGTGTATGCCTGTAATCCTAGCCAGGAAGCTGAGGCATGAGAACCAGTGAAACGCTATTAAAAAAAAAAAAAGTTAGGTGACAATATGATATACTCCACAAACCTCTACCTAAAATTATTAGTTTTTTTGCCATAGGATGCATATGCTCACCAGAGACAGAGAGGAAACTTAAAAAAGCACCCCCCCTCTCTCGGAAGATGGTCATGCCGCAATTCCTTTTCCTCCATTCTCCTCATGGGATTTTGGACACGTGCACATACATGCACCCAGTGTGATTCTCAAGTCACTGGCTCTGGGACTCAAAATGTGGTCAGCCATGTAGGAGTTCCAGTGCCTTATCCACCATACCACCTACTGGCCCTATTTCCCTTTATTAAAAATGACACTGCTCCACAAAATTGGAATATTTTCTCAGTTGCATATCAATAAGACAAAAGCACTGTTTTAACAAAATTCAAAGTTTAATTTTTTCAAAACATAACTATACTAATGAAAATAAATTATATTTAGACCACCTTCACATTTGTACATCATCTTTATATAACTGTAACAGTGCTTTCAAAAGACATTTTGTAAAGGACATTCACAATTACAACGTGTTTAAAAAATAGGGGAACATTAAAGAACATTAAATTAGTCTGAAATATATCTCATAATGCTGAGAGGTATACTGTTCTTTATCAAATTAACAGTATTTGTATGCAAAATAACATGGCTTTTAACTAATGACAATTATTTCTTGTCCATATCAGTGATTTCTTGAATCCAAAACAAAATCTGAGTATTTATTTCTTTGAAAACGTCATTTGTTGACCGTCCTTTAACTGCCATGGAATGATTTGCCTTCTCAATCCAGTGGATTTTAGTGGCAGCTTGCATTTTCTGTGTCACTTTCTCCAACAAGGTCTAAAGGAAAAAAGAAGATGATACTAGACTAAAGCTGGTACTGGTATTTAATAATAGGCTCTCTTCCTCGCCTATAGTAGCATCTACTCACCAAACATTCAGAAAATACCTACTCTAGAGACAACTTTCTAGGCAAGGGGATGTGCAAGGAAATGTCCACAACAGTGACGATCCATTTCTCTGGTACAGAAATACCACAGAACTGATCAAGAATTCATTATTGACAATAAAATGTTAAGAAAACTGAAGCCTCCCCCAAATTAAAAAAAAAATTTTTTTCCCAAGGAAATTACATGCTCTAGGAAATGCAGAGTTGTTTCATTAATATTTGGCTAATATTTTGTAATAGGTAGATGCTGCCGTCCCTTTCTCAAGTGCCAATTTTATAATAATCTGCTTGAATGACAAAATGACAAGCCAAATAAATGTATAGTCTAGAAGTTTCCAAGCTGCCATCCCTTTCTCAAGTGCCAATTTTACAGTAATCTGCTTGAATGACAAAATGACAAACCAAATAAATGTATAGTCTAGAAGTTTCCAAATCAGAAGATTCAAATATTAATCCTTCATTTCTTAAATAAGGGTTAATTCATTCACCAATTCCCTCCAGAGAGATGCATTTTGTCAGCATGCTTATATCTTGGAGTACTCCAAAGTAACAGAGTAACTAAGGCATAAAACTAGCTATTAGGCTTTTTAAAATAAACTGAATGTTGCAGATAATATTTTGCTCCCAAGGAATTTCTTTCATTTTCTCTCATTCACTCAGAAAAACAGCATTATAATTCACCTTTTCACACATTTCATCTGCTGAGCCTGACACAAACAGTACAGGATCTTTTATACGAAAGAGATCTTCATCTCTGAGTTTATGCTGCTGTTTTGGATGGTGCAGTGGATAAGAAATACAAATGAGACCTCGAACAAAATCATCAGCATCATCTGGCTCAATATGACACATTACAGAAGCAGCTGCTCTTGAGCCCATTGAACGACCTAAAATCAATTAAAATTAAGTTCAGTCTGAAATATAGACAGTCACATAAAGTAGCAGTGATAGTGTGGCAAGTTAGATTTTATTTTGTGTTCATCTATCATATTTGTTTATCAACAAATTACTTAACTCCAAAAGGTGGTAATAAGTAAGATGCAATACCTATAACAAATACCTATAGTTTTCTGAAGAGATAAACACTGATCAATCTTAAGTCAAATTTTTTAAAAAGCAATTATTCTTCTGCATAACACTAAAAAGAGTGACGAACAATTCTTATGAAGGACTCACCACTTGAAAGAGGGTGATTCAGGGATCTAAGTAAAAGGAGAGATTACAAGGGGTCTACAAAACTTTATGAAAAATGTGTAGTATGAGAAACTTATGCACAGATTTCAAAAACTTTCTGCACCAAAATAAACTTGTACTAGAATTTTATTTTTCCATGAACTTTTGAACTCCCTTCAAACATGTACGTAAAGTCTAAATTTACTTTCAATATATATAGTAGTTAAACATCAAGGAGGTGAAATACCAAAACAAAAAAAATCACCTTTAAACTAACTTCCTGTTATTAATTTCTATTCTTAATTACCAATTCATATATTAAAATGGGTAGTTAACAAGTATTCACAAGTATTGCAACTTACCACCAAGGAAAACACCTGCAAGTTTATATTCTCCTGAGGTCTTTAGGTAATTCTAGGAAAATCAACCAAAAAAATTATAAATTCTCCTTTAAAATATTTTATTGGAAAGCCAAGATATATTACTTCTTACAATTACTGAAATATAGAAACATCTATGCAAAAACAATCACAAAAACTAAAATCATTCTTGGAAAAGGTAAGCAGTTCTTTCCTCCTCTGATTATGCCTTCACTATTAAATCACATGTTGGATAACACAGGTAAATACTTGGAGGGAAAAAACAAATTATCTTTGTAAAAATTATTTAAACACTAAACTATTTTAAGAACAAATTATGAAAAAAGGCTAGTAAAGATTTCTACCTACTACCAAATTTAAGAACACTAACATCTCATTTAAAGCTGTGAAAAACATGATGAGAAATTTCAGATTTGAGTTTAATCCAGAGATTTTAAGCAACGTTTTAAAGAAACATATACAGGAAACAGTGCCATTTGTACTTGTATAGCATGGTATGGGAAATACGCTAGAATAACAGAATTATATTCTAAAGTTATATAATTCCAGTAAGACAATCCTAAGTAGCTTTCTTGGCAGTATAATGAAGGAATATTTACGATGTGAGCATTCATCTCCATAGAAACTAATAACAAAAAAAGAGAACGACAAACCACTAAAAAGCCTTGATGTACTAAGTTTATAAGGACACTTATTAAAAGATTTTTTAATCAAACCAAATTACTACTAACAAAATTTGTTTTAAATGTATTAAGAATTTTAAACACATCTGTTAATATAAAGAAATTTTCTTACCAAAACTGACTTATATGCCTTAATTCTGTGTACAATATTAAGGCCTTTACAGGTAAATCTCAGGCAAAAAAAACCATGGGATGCAAGATGGGATGCCAGTGACATCAAATGAGGAAGATTCATATCTCCTGATGCTCCATGTGTAAGAATTATTCCATATGTTAAGCTCTTGTTAGGTACCAAACAAACAGCATCTAGTAACTTATTTCCAAAAGGTATTTTTAGTTTAGCCTCTGTATGACTCATTTTCACTGCTAACAAACTTAAAGTGCATTACATCTGAGAAGCAAATGACATTTCCCCAGGTGGGCAAAACCGGCCAAAACACCTAACCGCCCTCACTCCCTTCAGGAAGCAAACTAGTACACTCTAAGCGACCACCTCGCCGCCCCTCATATGTCATCTTTAGAGAGTGGTTTTTTTCAACTCATTCTCCCATCTTTTAATAGGGTTGATCATCTTTTTTTCCAATCAGCTTCTTT